GTACTAAATTTTAAATTGCATGCCATTTTGAGTAGTGTGATGAAATCTCATGCTGTCCTGCCAGAATGTGAATCATCCCTTTGTCTAACATATCCACACTGTGTACACTACCCTCCTGTTAATCACTTAGTAGCCTTCTGGGTTATCAGATTGAAAAAACATCATATATATATATGTGTGTATATATATTATATATATGTGTGTGTGTGTGTGTGTGTGTGTGTGTGTGTGTATATATATATGAAACATCATATATATATATGTGTGTATATATATTATATATATGTGTGTGTGTGTGTGTGTGTATATATATATGTATGTATGTATGTATGTATGTATACACACACACACATATACAGAGTGTGGCACTATTTTGGTTTCAGGCATCCACTGGGGGTCTTGGAACATATCCCCCATGGATAAGGCGGGACTACTGTCCTTAAATTTTTAAAAACTTATGAAGATTATAAGTACTTATGTAATATATTTTCTTTATTGTAGTAGTTAAAATGTTGAATCAAACAACCGATATCTATTGTCACAAGAAAGACATGTTGAGCAAGAAAGGTACTTGGGGATATAATAAAACATGCCATTACTACTGGGTTCCAGAACCCTAAAGATAGATTCAATGAGTGTATCTGAGAGAAACCACATAAGAATAATCCACACAAAGGTTTCAGATAATGGTTTCTACAAGTGGAGCCAAAGTGTTCTCAACAATGAATGGCCTTAGATTTCTATACCTAACCAAACTCATGAAGATTCTAACTTCCTTAGAGAAATAATCCCGCTTTCCCCTAGCTCAGTCTACAGTTTACAGTGGGTGCTTAACAAATGTTGTTGACTGGCAAACAAAAAATATTTTCTCTTTTTCTCTGCCCTCCTTTCAATCTGTTTTCTACTATGCAGCCAGAGTGACACTTTTGAAATATAAGTTTGATAATGCCACCCTCCTTCCCACCTTCCATGCTATACTCTTTCCATTGCTTTCCTATAACTTTTACAATAAAGATTAAAATCTGTAACATGGTCCAGAAAGCCCTGCGTGGCCTGGCACAACTCCTCTCTTGAACATGGAATAAGAGCATCATACTCATGAATGTTCCTTCTCTTAGCTGCTTGAACATGCTATGCCATCTCCTGCACCAGACTTCTGTACCTCTGCCTTTACCTGGTTAATTCCTTCTCATTTTTCAGATTTTAGTTCAATAATCATTCCTAAAGAAAACCTCCTTTGATTAGGTCAGCTCACACTATTTTAATTTCTCACAGTACCATGTACCCATCCTTCACAATACATACCACCATTTTAAATTTCCTTTTTTCAAATTAATGGGCTTCCTCATAGAATATGAGGTCTATGAAGGTAGGAACTATTTCTGAGTTTACTCCCCATTTTATTTCATGAGCCTAGTACTCTGGCACACACATAAAGCACTCAATATTTGTTGAATAAAGAAATAAACGAATAAGTCAGTGAATATGGTTGTCTATCTGATTACATTAGTATAGTTGCAGAAAGCAAGAGCTTCATTAAATGACATCTATCACACTGCCATGTTCAGTAATATTAAGCAGTCAGCACAAGCTGTATGGTTTATGGCCATTTAAATAAAGTGCAAAAAAGTGACACTCTCAGTCTATTATAAAATTTTAATATACATGACCCTAAAATATATGAGACCTAAATCTAGAAATTGTAAGTGTAACTTAAGTATTTCTTATTGATCATCCTTTCATTTTTATTTTTAAGCTAGATAGCCATGGAATTCACTAATTCTTTTAAGCTGCTAGGAAACTATTAGTACTCTTAAGTAGAAGCTTATTAAATAATAATGTCCAGGGGCACTTAGATGAGTATGATTCTCTGAAAAAGCTACGTACCCCATAAGCATCCATCATTCAGGAAAGATGACATTTTTGGATAGTTGAGTTCTGAGGCTAACTCTCAGGATCAAAGAATATAGATGATGCATAAATTAGTTCTGTTTCATCAGCCATTTATATATATTGTACACACACATACACACACACACACACACACACACTCTCTCTTTTTTTTTTTTTTTCTCTCTTCAGTAACACCTGAACCTGAAAAAAATCTCAACTGGAATGAATTGGAAATCTTATTCAGCAGACATAATGATATACAGCTTGGGAATAAATGTTTATGCTCTTCCCCAGGCCCTGCCATTAACCTGGTCACCACACACAGCCTTTCCTGTGTTTTCTCTCCATCAGTCCATGAATAAATAAATAAAACTTGCTAGACCCGAGTAAACAGAGTAAGGATGAAATGAAATAGAAATATTCTAGAAATTCATAGGTACATAAGTTGTTTCAAGGCACTCTTGGCCAGGAAACAACAACAACACAGAATATTCTTATTATATTCTTATCATCTCTTTAGTAGTTATCATATTTTAAATATGAAGAAAACTAAGATAATATTAGACCTTTTTATTAAGTTAAAAAATTGTACTTGGGACCATAGATAATTTATATTTGTGTTTAATGTTTCCTTGTTTATTTTTTTTTCCTAAATTTCCTCTAATGAATGTGGATTTACTGGTTTTTAAATTAGTTTTTATAAAGAATGTGGCAATCAGTGTAAATACTGGCTACAGGCAGGGCTTTGTTTATACTTCATCTGAATAGAAATCATCTATCCCTAACCATCAACACATGATCGGTGTTGGGAGAGGCATCCATTCTCACTTAATTATTCAATAGTCACTTGACACACATGAAACAGAAAAAAATAAGCAAAATGGAACCCATCTTTCTGGGAAGACTGACTCTGCCTTATCACTCCATCTCCCATTTCTGTGGTAATCAAAAGAATCTAGCCTTTTGTTTTCCTTTCCTGACTAGTGGTGATCTCTGCACTCTGTTTTCAGCTCAAATTTTCAAAACGAATCAATGCTCCAGAACAGTCCTGATGGATTTGCCTTTCTGGGTTGGATTACCTTGTGCATAAGGTACCATACTGTACAATTATACATCTTGGTAATTCCAAATTTTTCATCTTACAAAAAGAGCTGTCCATTTGCCAAAATATAATGCATTTCAGGGACATCTAATTCTGCTTCTCCTTAACATTCTACTTTTTCCAAGCTTTTTCCACTCTTAACTGTTCCTGATTATGTGTCCCTGGATCCCTACATTTAAAATGCACAGAAAAATAAAAATTTTCATTTAAAACACCCTCCCACACAGTACAAGCTGTCATTGTGTCATATTTGTTTCCTAATTTAGGGGAGGAAGTTATATTTCATTTGTCCTTCATAAATCGTCTTCTCTATCTTTAAAGGTGGCATTAGGATACTTAGAGAAATTTTTCCAATAAAATAATGTTCATTTTTTAAATTCATTTCTCTTAATCAATGCAAAGGTATGCAACTTCAAATTACACTATAGAAACCATCATACCTAGCTATCTTTTTCATGATTTACAATTAAGTTAGGTTTGGTAGAAGAAAAAAAACGTTCTGTTTTATTTTTGTAAAACAACTATAAAGCCTGATCTCACGTTAATGGAAATTTACTGGCAAAGCTGAAGTGCAATATAGGCCACGGAATACACCATCTTCTATAATTACTTAAACCAAAATAGGACAACAACAAAAAACCCACATGAAGGTAGAGAGCAATGAAGCAACCCTTTACTTTTTTCCCACCTAATCCCATGAAGGCTACAGAACTCTCCTAAAGCACAGCTTTTTTTCTTCCTAACTATCTCCCTTTGCTGTTAAAACAATTACAAATTTTATCAAGTCTCCATTTCTCTTAAAGTCAAGTGAGAGAGAACTGCCAAGTCCAATAAGATTTACAAAGGCTAGTTCCCCTTAGCAGTGTCAGCAAAAAAACAAAGACATTATAGAAAAAAAAAAAAAAAAAGCCACATATAGAGCTTTTGTCCCTGCCGTTTTCTAAATGAGATTTAACAATTCACCTCTTTTTTCCGGTTCAGCCACAAATGCCAGTTATCCACGTATTGGTTGCCTTGATTTGACCCAAAAGCTATCTACTTAAAACCCTGACATCTTCTCTCCTGCTTACGCACTGATCCATCCATATTTCATCTTTTTCGTATCACTCACTCTCTGTTCATAGGTTTTTCTGTATTTAGACAGAAATATTATTTTCCTTCGTCATTGTCATGTAACAACATCGGAAAAACACACTGAAGACTGAATTTTATTTGTAAAGGGGAGAAAATAAAACTTAGGTATGATTTTTGTTGTTTAATTCCACACTGTTTCAAGCCTCAAAAACCACAGAATTTACAACTTGGCCTCCACTATTCAGATAAATGTCATGACTATCCTTAGAAAATCTCTTGCAATCCCTCACGTGCATTCCCTCCTTATTAGCCTGCAGAAGCTTCCCAATCCAGCAACCTCTAAATCTGTCTACTATTTCTCTTCCCAAGGCATTTTTAACTGAGAACTATATTATTCAATCTCTAACATTTCTACACAATAGCTGACCTGTCTCACACTTCAAGAAACCACAGAAATCACAAAATTTTACTTAAAACTAACAAATACTGGACTGGGACATAAACATGGAAACCAAGATTAATTCCAAAAAACCTCTTCCTGCTAACGAAGAAAATCTTCACATCTCCACCTCCCCTTTTTCCACAACCAAGAGCAGATCTTTTACGCTTTGTTTGCAAAAGACAGCCGTATCTGTGAACCTCCTCTCTCTTGTCCTTTACCACACGGAGCTTCTTAGTCATGGCCGTGGTGAACCTCTCCTGCACTTCATTTTTCATCAAATGCATGCCCAATCTTCTAGATGCTTGTCTGCATCTTATGGGCAAAGGCTGTGTATTACAGATTTTGAGGAGTTAGAGGGAAGTGTAGGTGGGCCATTGCCCAGTGAATATAGGAACCCTCCTGCCAAAGGACCTGAGGAATGAAGAGAGGCCATTCTACTTGCCACTTGGAAGGAAGCAGGGTTGGTAGAAAGGGCTCCCAGGAGCAAGCTCAACCTCGGAGTTGGGGCTGCTCGGTCATTAAGAGGATGGCAATGGAGGAGCTGTGGGAGGTGGTGAGGCAGAGAGGCCTCCAGAAACAGGCCTTCACCTCGAAACGAACTGCCACAAACTGTCCAGAGAAGGAAGACCCCATGCACCAGCCCGGCCCCGCCTGCCTCGCCCTGCCCACCTCACGCCCTGCCCAGGCCGTGGCCCCCGGTCGGTGGCCCGGGCGTCGGGCCTTACCTTGGCTGCAGTCCTTGCCGCGGAAGCCGGTCCGCGAGCAGTCGCACACGGCCTGGTCGTCCACCACGGAGCACACGCCCCCGTTGAGGCACACCCCGCCCTCGCCCTCGTCGCCCGCCTCGCACGGGCTCCCGCCGCCGCTGTTGGGCGGCTCGTCGTCCAACTTCACCTCGCCGCTGTCCACGGGCAGGACCTGCGACGAGTTGACCCTCACGTCGCGAATCCACCCTTTGAAGGGCTCCCGCTCCCTCACCGAGGCCAGCGTGAGCTTGAGGGCCGCGGCGCGCAGTTCCGGGGGCAGCCCGCCGACGAACAGGCCGCTGAACACCGTCATGTCCCTGCGCTTGGACTTGACCTCCACCCACTTGGCCTCCGCCTGGTCGATGAAGAGCGTGGTGTTGCGGAACTGGCGGCGGATGCGCACGGTGTGCCAGGCGCCGTCATTGAGCGGCGTGTCGGCCAGGAGCGTGGCGGGCTCGGCGCAGAAGATGGAGAAGCTGAGCTGCAGGCGGCCGCCGCGCGTCAGGATCAGCTCCAGGAAGTCGCAGAAGCCCTCGTCGTCGAAGTAGAGCACCAGGCCGCGGGCGCTGCGCGTCTTGAGCTGGAAGCTCATCTCGCTCTCGCAGCAGGCGTTCCACTTGGGGAAGCGCGTCCACTGGCCCTCGGCGCCCGGGAACTCCAGCCCGCTGCCCAGCTCTGCCCAGCAGCCCAGGAGCAGCAGCGAGAGGCACAGGACAAAGCAGCCCCCGCGCTGGAGAAGCGCCGTCCCCATGCTCGGGGCTGGGGTGCGGCGGAGGGGTGCCGGGGCCGACAGGGTCAAAATGGGCCTGGGCACCGTGAGGAAGAAATAAGGGTCCGAAGAGAAAGGGCAAGGGTGTGAGCAGGAGCGGGAGGGATGCACCCTCCTTTATCTAGCTCTTTTTTTCTTCTTCTTCTTCCAACAACCCCTCCCTCTCTCCCGATAGTCCCCTTCCAACTGGAAAATGTAGACCACAGTGGTACAGGACAGCCACAGAGCTTCCAGACCAAGGGGAGGATGCACTTTGGAGGCAACGTTCTGGAAGAGGCCTCAACAGAAGATCGAGGGAAATTACTGATCCATGTGAGTCCGATGAACTAATTGAAGGGCATCTGTGGTGTCAACAGATACTTCACGCCTCAAATACCATCATCTGCCAGGTCCCACCAGAGGTACCAGGCAAAGGGGATGCAGTTATGGTCAGTAAGAAGCAAACACTTTTCTCAGTGAAGTACAAGAAGCCAGCAATCAACCTTGGACGCTGTGAATGCCTTAAGTGCTTCTCCTCTAGATGTAGTGTCCCAAAACAAGGGAGAAAGATGTTCCTTGTCTCTTTAGGGCGCCCCTCATTAACGCCAGAGTAGCTTCAAAGGCCTGGTTCTTCTGTCATATCATGGACTTCCAACACCACTGCAGCCAAAGCCGAATTCCTCGTACATGCCTCACAGGCTGGATTTTACTTCTCTTTTTAACCTTCCCAACAGTAGGACTTAGGCCCAGAAGTTGTGAAATAGCCAGTTGTGAAATAGATGTGGAAATCACAATAGCTCTTCTTTTCTCTCTGCCTCTGCAAGGCCAAGCTAAGATGTCAGCATATCAGTCGGTGGTATGTTGGTGATGCATTTTGGCTTTACTTTGTCTTTTTATAAGGACCCAGAAATCTGTAGAGAATTAAAATCAAAATTAAGGTCTAAATTCAATTATAATATCATCTAAATCATTATTCAGCTCAGAGAGCAGGTATATAACTGTTGCTTTTAGTGAACCAAAGAGTTAACCTTGTTGAATGCAGCTTTTCTGTCTTGACCTACAAGTAAAGGTCTATAGTCAATATCACACTCTTACAATCAGGCATTACACACACCCTTGTAGTTTCATAACATTAAAATGTAACCCCAAGTTTTAAATAGGGATTTGATTAATAGTTATCTATTTATTTTTCCAAGAAAGTTTAACTTTTAACTTATATGAGGATAGAAAAAATAAAGGCTCTTTTAAGGATTTCTACTTATATTGAGTACTGGTTACATGGACAGTAAAAATACAACCTATTCAAATCCTACTTAATAGCAAATTTTACAACAGGCAAAGTAGATCAAACTGTTCGTAGGAAGCTGCCAGCTTAGATTGTACAGCATTCCTGCCATTTTATTTTTTTCAGAGAGATAAGAAATGTTGATGATTTCTTAGAAGTCCTTTTAAAATTTCAAACAAGGATAGTCCTCCTTTTTTTTTTTTTTTTGAAGGAATAATCTTTTATGGTAGAAAACATCTCATTAGAGCCAGATAGATATCTGGGGCAGTATTTATCTCGATTGCCATAATATTAGGTCCTCTAAAGATGCATAAAGTTTTGAATATTTTGCCTAGCAGTGTAGTGATCTAACTCCTCCTCAAGTCTTTATCTGGCTGTCTGCCCTTAGAATTTGTGTGGTCAGAACAGCAGTTGGCATGTATGTCATCTCAGCTGCTATGGTTCCAGGATGCTAGAATTTAAAACCATACCTTTGGATCACTAACTATATTATTAAATCACTTCTTTTTATTCAACTCTAATCTGACAGATTCCTGAAATGGAGCAGAAATAAAAAATAATGGGGTTTTTTTCCTGTTTTTTGTTACCAAAGAAAAAATTACTCTCACATCCTGAAAAAAAAAAATCACAAATGTATCATCTGGTCATGTTAAGCAAAGTCATACACTTCCCTCACCATTTCACATTCTCCCTCCCCCTGCCCCAACAACCACACACACACACACACACACACACACACACGAGCGCGCACACCTCCCCCTGCCCCAACAACCACACACACACACACACACACACACACACACACACACACACGAGCGCGCGCGCACACACACACCAAATTTATTGCCTGTACACAGAAGCTCACTATCCAATTAACACTTTTTCCCCTTACAAGCTGAAACTAGCAGTAATTTATGGCACCGCATTGTGCTGCTGCTCCTCTGTGGAGGGAGCTGAGAGCATTTTTCTTCAGTACAGAGCAATCCCTACAGGTGTCAGCTGAGAGCCACCAAGCTAGGGGATCCCACTTCAAGTCCCTCCCCAGATGAAATTGATGACTGGTTCTCTCTCTTTCAACAAACACACACACACACACACACACACACACACACGCACGCACGTACACAGATACATCACACGCACTGCCCACTAGCAAAAGGAAGTAAAAATCTCAGTTGCTTATTTATTATGACCATACATTCCACACCATCAGCAATCCCCAGTCATATCTTGGCTATTCCTGTGCCAAGCCCAAAGAAAGGTGCTTTTAAAAATCATCTAAAATAGCATATTATTCGATTATACTTTTATATTTTGTCAGCTCAGAAATATGCTAAATTTTCAACATTTGCAAAATAAATCTGGGATATTATGATTAGAGTAGTGCTTTGAACCCATCCTCAATATCATGTGGTAGAGAACCTTTTGGGGGGTATGCATGACTGTATGTGACTCAACTAGAGCCAATTATTTTATTAATTAATATTACATAGATCACATAACATTTTTTTTCTTTTCCCTCCCTCTTGCCCTGCCCTCCTCCTAATGCACACCATGACAATTTTTTAGGGATGGAGGAGAAGAGGGGAAAAATCTTGAAGAATATATATGTGTATATTCTTACCACAGGGGAGGTCAATTGGCTCTCCCGGTTCTTAGAGGAAGCTCATTGTGTGGAAAAAGCATCTGTATTTATATGGAGAAAGAGGATTCTCTCTAGGTGCTGAAAAGACCTGGCGAGTTTGCAAATTAGAGGATGAAATAGAAGGATCTGAAAAACAACCTAACTGCAGCCAAAGGAAGAAGCGCTCTAATTCAAAAGCAGAAACAGCCTCATTAATCTTTTCTTTCATTTCTAGAACCAAATTCATTCGCAAGTCACTGGAAAGATCAATAGAGTATACTCATCGGCTGCAGTTGTATTTATTTTAATATGTTTATTGGTATCGTACACACACACGCAAACACACCTTTCCATGCACCCTTCAGTATATATTCTCATAAAGAACCTGAAATCTTTGGGAGAAATTTAGAAGTGCCTTTCTTTTTGCCACTGGCTTTTCAAAGTCCCTTAATACCAATGCACATCCAAAATTCTCCCTTGCTTTCCCGCCCAGTCTCTAAGCTCCATCTCTAATACCAGTGCAGTTTCTTAGAGCCTGGAGTCTGCTGCAAAAATTAAGGATAGGCACAGTGCGGAGGTGATGAAGGGAAAGAAATATACAGATATAGATATATTTTATTGCTTTGTTTTCTAACCTGCCTGGGTTTTTTTTTTTTTTCTTTCTTTTGCTTATAAATCACTGCATTCAGTCTTTAAGTTACTATCCCAGTTCCACCATCTCATCTTCTTGTCATCTATTTAAAAGGCTTCATGCAAAAAAAACCCCACCGAGATCTACACTCCTCCGTCCTCCCACCACCCATCCTTCCCTGTGTATTTGTGGCAGATCCTGGCTCAGTTACAATGGGGAAAAATATCCTTTTCCAGCTTGCCTCGCCCCATCCCCTCCCCCCAACCCCAATTGAGCTTCTTTACCTGCCCGTTTTCCCCTTTAGCTCGAGCCAGAGCCTGAAGCATGCATCGGTCAAAGAGAATTTCCTGAGGTCTACGGATAAGGCGACAGCTGCTGCCTTTTCAGAGGCGTCAGGCTTGAGCGTCTATCTCCAGGAGTGCAGGAGGGGAGAACAGGCAACGGAGGGGAGCAGCAGCAGGAGCACGAGGAGGAGGGGGAGGAGGAGGAGAGGGAAAGAGCTGGGAAGGAAGAGGCGGTGGTGGAGCCCGAGAAGGCTGGGTTAAGTGACGCCGGGTGCTGTCCTTCTGAAAGAGAAGGGCGGAGCTGAGCTCTCCGCAGTACCATGGAGAGCGGCGGGCCCGTCCTCTGGAGGGGGAATGGGTGGGCTCGGCCCGCGGCGCAGACCCTCCAAGTCTGGAAGCCGCGGAGCTAGGTGCTTCTACCTTTGCATCGTCCCTTTTCAGGGGCAGCCCGATCCTGGGGGCGGGGTCCTGTCGCAAGAGCTTCTAACTTGTCAGCACGAGAGAGACAGAGACAGAGAGAGAGAGAAACACGAGCCAGAAAACCACGTATCTTACTGAGCATGCCCAGACCCCTGCTAGACCCACGGAAAGCTGTGTGGAGATTCCACTTCGGGATTTAGTCGTGATTGGGCGGGGGTACATGAGAGGGTGCCAGGAAAGGGCTTGGCAGCCAAAGAGAAGGGGCCAGAGAGGCAGAGATTAAGATGAACTCTGGCTTTACTTGTGCATCTTGGTCTCCAGCTTGGAAGCCTTGAAAAGCTGCAGCTCCTTGAGGAATGCAGGGACAGGCGGGACTCACACAGGCACTGGCATTCTCCAAGATCCTACGTCCCTGCCCCACCCCTTACTGTGACTCTGGCCAGAGTGATCACGCCAAACCTTCAGGATCTGCCTAGGCTGTGAGAAAAAGACCTAAGAGGGACCCGCCAGGCTAACGGGGCAACTTGGAGACTAGACTCAAGAGTATCTGACAAGGTGCTTTTCACTGCAGCTGAACCAAGTTCTCTAGCTGTTTAACTCTTCCCTCCGTCTCCTCCTTCCTACTGCGGCTGGTAAAACCTGGAGAAAGTGAAACGGTGCGAGGTTCTAACCATATAACTGGGCATGCCCAGTAGACGTTGCTGGGTCTGGTGAGAAAGGAGTTAACTCTAAGGGAGCTTGCAGATTAGGTGGTAGAGAAGTCCGGGGTCCGTGGCTTTAAATAATGTTTTGAGTCCTATGGACATTTAAATTCCTGTCCCTGTTATATTCCCAGCCCGGGTTAGTTTTGAAACACAA